AGACAGACGGACAGACAGACAGCTCTGGGCAGCATCTGCAGCTTCACCATCGTCACCCCATCGTGTGTCTTTGTGTCCCTGAAGACCTACCAGGACCTGAAGAGGTTCTCCATGTTCAACGTGATGGCGGCACGCATGGACGTGCAAGGAGACAGCGAGAGTGAACGTTTAGTGTCTTGTCTATCCCAGACGTTCATTCTGCAAAACTTATTAGGGTCCGAGGACCCCATCCCTGACGAATGCGAAAACTTTAATTTGACCTCCTAAATACGCAAAAACTCACCAAAATTGGCACGCACCTCCGACTCGCCAAAAAGTGTGATAAAATGAAAAAAATAAAACCCCAAAATGGGCTCTCTGGGCCCCCTAGGTACAAACAAAAACACACTTAAACGGCCCTAGTGCCCAGTAGGAATGTCGTACAGAGATCAAACCAACACCAAAACGTTTGTCTCAATGAGACCCACAAATCTCGTGCTGACACCCCTGACCTATCTCAAACAGGAAGTCAGTAATTTGCCTTTGAAAGTTAAAAAAATGAGTGACAACATCGTCTTGAAAAAAATTATCTTGTCTGACATCATAAATGGTATCAGTTTGAAAATCGCACAGGAGACAGAGAAGGCCTTGATGTACAAAAGTTCTGAAGGGATTTGGCGTTTCTCAACCGGTTTTTGAATGGCGAGCCGTTAAAGTTGATGAGCTGCCTCTGCCTCGGCTCATACATTGTATGGGTGTCTATGGGGACATGTACCGACATGCTGTGACATTTGGTCATCTACACAAAAAACTAAAGGTCCTACAGCTTTAAAAATGACACTGAGGGCTTCCTAGCAAGATTTCCCACAAAAATATGCTATTTTTACACATATTTGGTCAAAGTTGTGGCTGTATGGGAGAGTTAAAGTGAATAAAACTCTCAGCTCTCTCAGTCAGGGCCATGAAGAACGATGACATCATCACAGCTCAGTGCAGCTGGTCATGTGACTCACTGACAGTCTGAAGCCGTGTCTCAATATGCGTACTTGTCATTACTTGGGTTCTTGCGGACTTGTGAAACGTCATCAGTCTGAGACCACGTACTGTTCCAATTCTAAGTACGCATCTGACCAAGTACGGATGAAATGCCCGGATGTGTTCTGGCTCCGCCCACATTATGGAGTCCGCATCAGACCGGACTGTGTGGACTTCAGACAGCCAAGTGTCCCAGAATGCATTTCGCGCCACCCAGTGATAAAAGCCGAGGAGAAAACTTTCAACGGTAACACAGACTTTCTGTAAATACTGTTGTTATTGTGACACAAACTGTAGGTTTCAGATTATTTGAGGTGAGAAAGTTTTGGTATAAACGCCAAATATGTGGTCATTTCATCAGGATAAAGCCTGTTGAACATTTAGCTCCGACAGTTTCAGAGATGTGAGCGTCCCAGTTTGACCGCTGTGACGGCGGCCAGCGCTCCCAGTAGCCGCTGAGAGCCGCCTGATGTCGGCCAGACTCTCTGAAGTCTGCCGCTGACGGCTCCGTAGCGCTGAAATATACGTAGTTTAGAGTCACACTTTGTCCTCACAGTGGAGTTTGTTTATTGATCACCATCGATTTAAAAGAAGTTTCTATTTTATTTAGTGTTGTACTGATCGCTGCCTCAGTGCGTCTGAATGATTCTCCTGCTTCCATCAGCTGTAGTTCAGCCTGGTTCTGTTCCTCTGACTGTGACTGTGCATTAACATGTGAGCAGTGTTTTAGTGGAGGCAGCTGGATGAACGTCCTCCTGACTGCTGGGAGACTCCCCACAACATGAGCAGCTCCATCCTGGACCTTCTGACGGAGCATCTGTGTCCAGCTCCACTGAAGAGCATCAGGAGGAGCAGAGGAACAACGTTCTTCATCTGTACATGTTTTGTACGAGACTTCTGTCCTGTTATAAAATAAAATCTCATAAAAATGACCCTGTTTATTAATTGTTATATTTATTATATATAGTTCTTGTCTAATTAAGTATTTTTGCAATTAAAAATGTTCAGCTGTATTCCAAAGATGGATGGTCTGATATGAAGTGCTGAAGCCACAATTACATTTTCCTCCAACATGTGACCTGTTGATCAGACACTGCTGTCAACAAATTAACAGCTTCAATAAAGATCGTATAACGACCTTAGAAACCTCAACATGTATACATATTATTTATATATATATATTAAAACGTAATTCAGCAAAGCTGTGTTCTAGTATTTCATTTAACTTCGTTGTTTTTCACGGTAAAGATAATCAGAGTAGATGAGCCGAGGTGGTGACGTCATCGAGTACGCTGCTGTCCCAATTGCACATAAACGGCGATGCGTTCTCCCGGAAAAATGGCTCCTTCAACTTAAAGATGGTTTAACTTGAAGCATGAAAAAATTTAACCCTCTACATCCCAAAATATGCTCTCTAGCGCCCCCTAGGTATAACAAAAAACACTAGAATGGCTCTAGCGGCCAGTAGGAATGTTGTAGAGAGATCAAACCAACACCAAAACATTTGTCTCAATTAGACCAACAAATCACGCACAGACACCCCAAATAACATCTTGAACAGGAATTTGCCAATTTGGTTTTTAAAAATAAGAGCTCACCCAAACTGTCCCACTTTGCACCATAATTTGACCCCCTTAACATGCTAAGAGCCCTGCCAAAAGTGACACACACAGCAGATGGGGTACACAATTTTATAACACCCAAATATAAATCTCCAACATTTCATAATGTGCTCTCTACTTCCACCTAGTCACAAAAAGGCACACTTAAACGGCCCTAGCAGCCAGTAGGAATGTCCTACAGAGATCAAACCAACACCAAAACATTTGTCTCAATAATGTGAGGGTTATGGAATTTGTTTTGTGTTTTGTGGTTTTTTTCTCTGCCTCCTGTGTTTGTGTCTTGGTGGGTGTGTGTTTTCTCTACAGGCTGGGCAGAGCCAAAGGACAGAGGACTTTCTCGCGCTGGCAGGTGCTACTCATCAGCTCATCAGCGGAGCACCTGAAATACAAGCTTGTCACAGATCTCCAGCGCCAGATGATTGTGATTCATCCTTGTGGTACTGCCAGGCCGCTTAGTTGCTCTCCTCCGCAAAGCATTCTAGCTAAGTTTAAGTATTTTTCGAGTTTCGAGTAATTCGTGTGTTTTTTGTATGCCTCCAGTGTTCCCTCTTCGACTCCAGCCTCCAGCGTTCCACGAGCCACACCAGCCGTAACCCTCTCCAGCTTCACCACGGAACCCACCGCTACGAGCACCCTCACGAGAAGTTCTCCCTCCACAAGCACCACTACTGGGAAAACCTCCACCGGGAAGAAGCACCTCGAGCACCGTCCCCTGAGCACCGTCCCTGCATGCACCGTCCTCGGAATCTTCCACGCCTCCCTCTCCAGCACAGCCTCGGCGGCACTTCCCCCTCCTTGGATCCCAGCACGGACAAACCTCCACCTGCACCCCCTCGACTGACACTCCTGCATCTGGTTCCTGCTCCTGGTGACCCCCACTCCCTCACCCTTATTAATAAAACCTTTTCATTATAACCTGTTTCTCCTGCCTCCCCTTTTCGTTCGGATCCGCCCGCACAGTCACCGTTCACGGGCCGTCACAAATAACTCCCATAAATCTCGTGCTGACACCCCTGACCTATCATGAACAGGAAGTCCACAATTGGCTTTTCAAAATAAAAAAAGGACAAAATAATCCTATGAACTTACAGCTACATGTCTCTAAAATGGTAGCAGATAGCAACACTATGAATATTGTCTATTAGTAGGTCAAAGTCTAGTGAAGGGGAATAAAGTGTCAAAATGGAGGTCAGAGGGGCATGAGGGTCCAACGCAGACCGAGGACCCGACCAACGCTGCTTGCAGCTTTAATTAATGAAATGATCCTGAAGAAATGTTCTTTCATCTTGCCTGTACTACTGTGTATGTACAGCAAAATGACAATAAACTTGATTTAATTTGATTTGAAATGACAAAGCGCAAACAAAGATAATTTGTAAAGTTTGCACAGAGACGGTTCACACGTTGGATGGCAACACGACGAACCTGTTCAATCACTTTACATACAGAAATGGTTTGGTTGCACTGACCAGAAACTTGCAAATTAGTTTCAAAAATACATGTAAGATCATGATAAAATCTAAAATGTGATTTATAATAAAAAAAATCATGATATGATATTTTTGCCATATCGCCTACCCCGAATTACAACAGGAGTCCAACAGGGCTGTCCACTGTGTACTAACCCTACTTCTGCACAACACAGCTGATGGTCTCAGACACATTGAGAAGACAAGTTACTCCATTAACTGACTCTTGACAAGGCACAGCTGTTAACGTAAAACCATCCAGGACATGACCTTATGAAGCTGATGAAGAATGTCAAGAATTCAAACTTTAAAACATCTTCTGGTTTGTTTAACACTTTCTTGTTTACTACATAATTCCAGATGTGCTCTTTCATAGTTTTGATATCTTCAGTATTAATCTACATGAAAGAAAATTAAAATAAATACAACCATTGAATAAGAAGGTGTGTCCAAACTTTTGACTGGTCCTGTATTAACATAAAACTTTCTCTAATAAAACACGTCAGTCCTTCATCAGAAGACATTTAGTCTTTAAAACTCACTGTTGGGTGGCAGGAATTCTTTGCTGCTCCTGGACACCCGGGGTCGCCCATATTTTGGAGCTGTGAGGACAAAGAAGAACAGAATAGAAGTTTCTTCATGTTCAGCACACCGCTGGTCCCAAAGTGTGTTTAATGGTTTCATCAGACAAAGGATGAGATGTTTTAAATCTACAGTAACTGCTGTTGCTGAGCTGCCTGCAGTGTGTTGAAGTTGTGTTGCTGACAACATGAGCTCTTGCTCTTCCTCCTGTTAGTCCAAAATAACTTCTTGTTCAATCCAGAAACTGAGTGTAGAAGAAATGAGCTCTCAGGTAACATACAGGTGACATCAATCCTGAATGGACTCACCAGATGCTGCCATGCTGCCGTCTGCTGGAAACCCACAAGAAAGAAACTCAGCTGACTGTTGGGTTGAAAACACAGCGTCACATGAAACAGGAAGTTATACCTTCATGAGTGTG